AGGTAACTCTGAAAGGCTTTTCTTCATGTTTGCAGTTATTGTTCAACAATTCAGTTCTATAATACATTCTATTACATGGCCATTATGTTAGATAAATATCAACATTTTATAAATAGAATACTAGTCTCCTGTTTAAAAAATCTTAACTTTTTTCTTATCTCTAATATAATACAGACTTGCACAAAAGACTGATTGAGGATATTTTGAAGCTGTAGGATATCACCATGATTACAGTAAGACCAAGTGTTTCCTTTCAAGGAAAAATGATGACTTAAAAGTAACAACTCATAACTATCTTTTATACCCTTCTACAGTGCCTTCTAGTTTTAGTGGAATGAAAAGACCACTTTCTCTTCAAATCTTTGTATACCATTATGATGTAGCTTTCAAACCATGTATCTGAAGATCACCTCTGTACACACTCCTCTTTTGGACAAAAAACAAACACAAAACCCAAAACTGTAGCAGGAATAAAGAAGGGACTTACCCGTAAGTTCTGGAGGTGCCAGCTGGGTTTAACCCACTATTGAAGGGAGGGAAAAGGCATCCCTTCCCTCACAGACTAATCTTGTGGCTCTGTGCTTAGTATTATAGCACCACTGACTTTTATCAGCTGCCAAACAGTGACATCTGATGTGCTTGCCTTTCCATCTACCTATGCTGGCATGTCAAAGTAAGAGTCCACAATCTAAACAATATCTCAGATGTCTTAGTGATATTTAAGGAGTGGGATTACATGAACTTCTCTTTCAGGCCTCTTTATTTTAGATGTGAATTTTGACTATGAGCTTTAGCAAACTCATGTAGGGGGAAGAGCAATGAATTGGAAAATGGGAAAAAGTATAAAGAAAACTCAGTTCTTTATTGTGGTGGGGGCTTTGTGAATCTTCCCTGTTGAAGAAAGAAGGACTAAGCCCCTTCTTTATATACGAGTATTCTAAGACTGGTGTTCTATCTAGTAAGACTTCTCCGGAAATGACCAGTGATGGGTGGGCTCCAAATTGATCCAAATTGATTTGTATTGGATAGTTGTTCATCTGAAGACTTTTTTTTTCTCCAAATGGGAGTGAGGGTGGAGCAGGGTTCAAGCAGTTCATTTTAAGAAAGGAGGTGTGGTTTCAGTAAATGCAGGAGAGCACGTGATAGTGACCTGTCACTGGGGAGGTGGAAAAACATGGTATGGTTTCTTTAGCAAGTTTTCTGAATCTGTGTGGTATATGGCTCCTATACCTTGTACTTTTATCCTGAATGCTTTGCAACACTTTAGAAACTACCAAACAAGAAGCAATCTATACAATTCAAGGCTCTGTACTGTCAGCCCTCTTTCCTTCATCTTCCTTACAGTTTCTGTTTTTATCAAGGAGACCATTTTGGTATTTAGGTTTCCATTTTTGTGCAGGGCAGTAAATAATTATAGAAGAAACCTTCAAATCAACAAAATAGGTGGTGGAGAGGATTAGGTGGCATGAGGATCAGGCCAATTGAGTGGAATTATCCCCATCTAAGTGGCTTCAATTTTGATATGGTTCTAGTGTTTAAAGCTTATCTGTTTATTCCTCTCCCTCAAGGATACTCTTAACTTGATTTAATTACCATGTACCTGAGGGCCCAACAAATAGGTGTTTGAGCACATGTAAGGCATATAAAATTCTTCACAGCTGACCATGTAGGTGTATCTGCCTTTGGTGTTCAGAGGAAGTTTAGTAACTGCTGCCTGGGCATGCAGCCAGTGTTTAGTAGGAAAAGCATACTAGACTTGATGAGTAGGTTGTTTGCCTACAAAGTCTTATTTCAGGAATCTCTCAAAATATTTCTGTGCATCTCCTATTTCAAATTCCATTATAAGGGAAAAAACTTTTCATTCAAATTAGAAAGACTTAAAATAGAAATGCAGGTGACAGTAAAAATAATAAAAATAAGCAACATATATAGCATTTTCTACAAGAAAGGCTCTATTCTAAGCACTTAACTGTGGTATATCTTCCTGAGAACAGGGTTTGATAGGGACAAGGAAGAGGAAATACTAGATTAGTGGGCTCTTAGTACCTAAAAGTTTGAGATATACATCCAAGTAAGAAAGATGCCCAGGACAAACTGTTAAATTGTCACTTCTAAATGTATGTACCATAGTTGAGTCAGAATTTTACTTCCATTTACTCTTTTTTTTTTGATAATTAAAAAAACTTATTTGAGAGGAACAGAGGATATGCCTAAGAAGCAAGATGAGAAAAATGCATCCTAGTTGCATTTACTCTTTATTGTTTAAGCGTTGCCTCTTCTTGTCCCCAGGCCTTGTAAGGTGTAACAGGGGCTGCAGGGCAGGACCTCCATGGCACATCTAGGCTCAGGTTCTCACCGCAGCAAGGGCATCAAGGATGTTTTGGGAAAGGTAAGTAAGATCCTCTCTTATGGCACCATTCTCAGAAGTTAAAGATCTGTATTTAATCATCTATTTTGAATCTCTTTTTCTACTTTTTAATGTTTGGTTTGCTTTTTTGAATGTTTTGTGTTTTCTCACAAATAGAGCTACTTGAATGGTTTAGTTGCTTATTTGAGAAAATCCTAAAACGGAAAGAATTATTAAGATATCAGGTAGGTGAACCATATTCAACCTTCCCCAAAGACAACTTTTTTCGTTTCTTTCTCTAAATTGTCAGTAAAGGTCTGCAGTAAATCGTTCTAATGCCTCACACAAGGTAACTTCCTGTTATTTCCTGCTGTATGTTAAGGAAATTCCTCCTTATCATCAGTGGAAGGGTAGCTGTTTTGCTGTCATTCCTTCATCCCACCTTCATATATAGCTCTTGTTTTTTTAAAATGTGAAATACAGTAAATACTATTATAAAAATGGTTCTATGAGCTGCTAAAGTCAGAGGTCAGGTGTATGCGATGAAGCTAGTTTCTGCTGTATTAACTGAGAAGGAGAATGTCACATTGAAGATGAGAGGACTAAAGAGTGAAGAACATTTTATTTATTTTCAGGTTTACATAATTCACTGTGATTACTGAAGTTCTGTATAGATGTATAATGAAAGGAAACCCCACTGTAGCACTTGTAACTTGAAATATCCATTCTAGCACCTGACTCAATCTTATGTTCTTCTCACATAAGAAATAATAATGGACACTCCACTAGGTTTGGAGTCAAACAGTGAAAATGATAACATTAATTTGGTTAATGTTTTACAAATTTCTAGACACATTAACCTTTTTATTTGGAGACCCAAGTGTTAATGCCTGCTCTACCACCTACTTACTGTGTAACCTCAGACAAGCTGCTTAAACTCTCTGAGCTTTAATAATTAACTGAAGAACAAAGATAGTATCTGTTATACTAATCTAAATCAGAGGTTGCTGAGAGACTCAAATAAAACTGAAAATCATACAATGGATTGTTATGTGGTATATCTCCTACACTAGGTTAACTTTTTTTCTGAGGAAGGGACTATTTACAATTTATTTTGCCTAGGACAGTGTAGCTCATAACAGACATTTTATAAAAATGTGTTAACTTTTGTGGAACTTTTACCCAATAATTTTACCCACAGAAGATTTTGTTAATGATAAAGATGGTAATCTCCTGTGAAAGATATGATAAATTCAAGGTCTTTCTAAATCCTAAAGGCTCACTGCTAAACAGGTACTCATGGAGAAAAGTTTCGCATATCAGTATTGGCTATCTTCTCAAGGCAGGTCTAGCACAGAACTTACTTAATAAATGTTTGTTGAAAAATGTGCAGTCTTATTTACTGCCCCACACACCCACTCTTACTTGACCCCATGAGAAATCTTCATTTATAGGGGTAGCTACTGCTCAGGCAACTAGAGATCCCAGAAGCTAAAGAGATTCCAGTAGACCAATGGAAATCAAATCATGCTGTTACTGGAGATATACTGATTCTGATAAAAAACAATGCAATGAAGTAATAGCTACTATTTATTGAACTCCTACTATGTACTTCACATACATTGTTCCAGGTCTTTTAGTCTCTAAAGTCCAAAGTCTTTCCTTCACTGTCTTCATTGCAAGAACATTTGAAGTACCTGTTCCAGCATCATAGCAGCATGAAGAACCATCCCTCAACAATGCGAGCCAATCTGTGTTTTAGTCATTTGTAGAATGAGGAACTTCATGTAAACGACTTCTGATTCCTTCCATCTCTAACATGATATATTTCCTTCACTTAATAGACCCAAATATTACTCAAGAAATCTTGTCTTAATAGAGATTCCAATATTTTTTTACTTTGTAATTAACAGACTACATTTAGTTGTACTAGGTAACTAGTCAAGAGTGCTGTTTAAGTTTTACTAAAGGCGTTTAAAGGTAACTTTATGCTGGTAAAATATTTAGTGGACTATGTTAGATATTGTTGAAAGCAAAAATCATAAATGACTTTTAAGTATCAATTTTTAAAATTGCATTGATTGATGAGAGAGACAGACAGACATTGGTTTGTTGTTCCACTTATTTATATATTCAATGGTTGCTTCTTGTATGTACCCTAACTGGGGATTGAGCTCATAAACCTAGTGTACTGGGACGATACTTAACCAACTGAGCCAAGGCCTTAAGTATCAATTTTTAGGTTGTTTTTAAATCAATATTTTGGGCTGAAGCTTGTGTTTGGAGTATGGTGATGGTGGTAGATTATGTTGTTTTAAACATAGCCTGACTGGCAAATTCACTTACTGAATTATCTTCCCATTTATACATTTGTTCTCTCAATGCAATATAGATAATTACATCTGTATTCTAAGATTGACCAGGAAGACACTTGTGTCACAAAATATTTTACATATTTATATTGTGATAGGACACTGCATTCTATTTTGGAAAAAGATTCCACTTCAAAATCTTTTGCCATTTGAACGTTGTTAATTTTTTTCAGTAAGTCTCTGTAACAATCCCTTAAATGTACATCTAAGTACATGACTTACTATTTTATCCATGGTGATGGAGAGCAAGGGAGAAATGACAGTTAAAGTGATTTATCTAAGTGCAAACTTGATCACTAACTCTGCACGATGTTGCAGAAGTAAGGGGAACCAGGTTTGCTAAAGTAATTGTGGTGATAGACATGTATTGGCCTCAGAAGCTACTGAGGTGGTCCATTCTCCTAGCACAGTGTAAAAGACAATAAAGTAATTAATCTCAGAATGCATGCTCCCTGAAGGCAGGAGCTTTGCCATGTTCACTATTCTATCTGTAGAACCAAGAACATTTATTGAATGACTGAATGTTAGGTCTCTCTGCCCTTATCATTGTGGTTGTAGCTCAGAGGAATTTTCACTGGTGGTGCAGAAATCTTCCTTTGGAATCTGGATCTCATGTTCAGTGGGAATGGCTGGTTCAGGAATAGTCGGCTTAAGATTTACTAGGGTATTGTCTGGATTTTTGTCCTTTGTGTAGCTGCCACTGCTCCAGGGAAAGGAAGCCAGTTTTGGAGAAAATTTCCTGATGGGTAACTTTGGAGTGCTCTCTGGTTTCTCTACGTCTTTTCCTTCTGAAAAATATAGTCACTAGTTCAGGTAGAAGCAGAGAATCTTCCTCTTGGCTCAGGGTTGAATAAAAAGGAGCAGAGAGATCCTGAAGAATAATTACCTTGGGAAACAAAGAGTCTTGCTGTGGAGACTGCAGTCCCAGCCTCATTTTCTGCAATGCACTTGAATTCTCCAGAATGTTCAGGAAATACTTCTGCGATAATCAAGGTGCAGACTTCCTCTGAAAAGAGATTCAACATGACCAGAATATTTGGGTGTCCCAATTTCAACAGTTGGATGTTTGATGTCAGGATACCTCCTTCCTGTCTCTGTGCATAGTTCATGAGTCACAAATACTATACCAAGTGGAATTATAGGAGGAATGCATGCTCTGTGAGGACAGGAACTGTGGCCAAGAACGGAATCTGGAACTTGGCCATAGTCTGTACTCAGGAAATAGATGTTGAGTGAATGAATAGATGAATAAATACACTTAAAGATTCCAGTTATCTTGTTTCTTCTGTGTTTGAGAGTTGGCATAGGGTAGTCTCAAAACTGCTCATGAAGGCAAAAGTAATTTAGGAGACAAAGTCTTCTGATGCTAATTTTGACTTAATCATTTATTATCAAGATGTTGAAAAATTGTACTTACCAGGAATGGATGATAAATGAGCTCCTGAAATATAAAACAAGAGAATAGAGAGAGAATTTAAATGGCAACAGTTAATTTAGTTGGGAGAAGGGGCCATATGTATAAGAGAAATAAATTGAAGAAAATACAAACTTAGCTATAATCTGGAGTCAGAGACTATAAATTCTGTAGAAACTCACAAAAGATGTGTAAAGAAACAAATACTCGGCAGGGTGCTGGAACTGTATTTTAGTTCTATTTTAGCACAAAATTGCTTTGTGACTTTGTGGAAATTACTTTTCTTCTTTGGGCCTTTGTTCTGCATCTCTAAAATGAGTGTAAGACCTGGTAATATCTCTTCACTGAATGTGAATCATTGCTACACTAATCATGAGGTAGCTAGCCCCTTTCTCTCAAGAAAAACCTTTTCTTTTAATATGTTTAAAATAAAGTTAAATACATTATGAAAGTACTGTAGTATTACTGTAGAAAAAAACACTAAAGGTTAATAACAGTTTTCTCTGGGTGGTGAGAAAGAAATGGGTAATTTAAAGTTTCTTCTTTGTGTTATTATAGATTTTCTAGATTTATTATAATACATTTGTAAGTATTGGAAAAATGCAATAAGTGTTATTTGAAAAAGAAATATTAAGCCCTAGCTGGTGTGGCTCAGTGGACTGAGTGCCAGCCTGCGAATCAAAGGGTCATTGGTTCAATTCCCAGTCTAGGGCACATGCCTGGGTTGTAGGCCAGGTCCCTGGTAGGAGGTGCGTGAGAGGCAGCCACATATTGATGTTTCTCTCCCTCTCTTTCTCCCTCCCCTCCCCTCTTTAAAATAAAACAAATAAAATCCTAAAAAACAAGGAATATGACTGTGTAATACAGATGTTTCTTAAATGTGATGTGCAAATGTTCAGTTTTGAATTGACATATAAATGAATATATTCTCTTTACTTGGCTCAGAAACTATTTTGGACTCGAACCCTAGCTGCAGCATTTACTAGCTTTGCGACCTTGAACAAAGTGTTTAATATTTCTGATGTTAGGGTTTTGATTTGTTTTTTTTTTAACTTAGAAAATGGAGGTAATAATAGTACATACCTCGAAATGTTGATGTGAGGATAAATGAGAAATTGTTTATAAAGTATAAACTTAGTACTTACCATAAGGGGTAGCATGTTTTTTATCCTTCCCTAAATTAATTATTAATTATTTTGTAGGACACTTACACAGTAAAGTATTTAGAAAGTTATATATCAGTTTTCATTTGTTTCACTCTTTTAAAAAATATGTTTATTTCATATCTTTTCTTGTTTGTATGTCAAGAACTCATTGGGAAGATAGTTAAGATTGATTTATGAAAATAAACCAGTTCTTTCACAGCTAATAAAACTATTTCATTTAAAACAAAACAGCTATCTTTTCTTTTTTGATTGTTTCTATTCAGGAGTCATTTGGATTTAAAATAACAATTAACAATAGAAATTTCTGAGTCTGCAACATATCAACTATTAAGTTTTTAAACATGAATTATATTTCAAGGTTAATTGGAATAAAAAGCAAATTGAAAATCTGATCATGATACTTTTCCTCAGAATTCAAAAGTTGTCTGAGTCTGCTCTCTGCTCTTCCTCTCTGTCCCAGTGAATTTGCACTGTGGCTGTAGCCTGGACTCAGCATTCAAACTCGACAAATCGACCTCTGGTTGTAGAGCTGTTTTGAAGATGCTGAAGAACAAACAGAGAATTCACAGAATGGAGGAAACTTTCACCATACTCGCAGACAATGATTTGGGATGCCATTGTAGTAAGTGTGTATGCTTTTTCATCATAATTATTGACAACTGAGTGTCTCTTAATCAAAACAAGGAGCTGCTGGGAATTCTTTGGTGCTTTACAGTGAGGCATAAATTATTTTTATCTTATTTTCATAGGGTTGTGTTTAATGAGAAAGTTGTTATTTACTCTCCAAGAGCCGTTTTTCAAAATAGAAAACAGATTAGTTGAAAAGTCTTTTACTTCATTGTATTATTTTGTTGAGTACATATATAATCACGATTTAATCTTTATTATTGGTCAAGTAGTATGGGTATTGTTGTAATTTGTTAAGGATCCTGAATCATGAGTTAGAGGATTTGAGCCAAAATCTCAACTCTGCCACTATCTTGTTGAAGCTGATCCTAGGAACTTGGAAGACTCTTAATCTCTGTGGACCTCAGGTTTTTTACCTGTGAAATAGGGCTACAAAAATGTTCAGCCTTCCTTGAGGTTTTGAGGCTCATTTCAGACAAATAATCTAAAAACTTTAAAGAATGAAGAGTTATTTTGATATGTTAAAAAGTGTTTATTGACAATAGCTAGTTTAGCCTCACATAAATGCATACACGAATGGGTGGCATTTGTGGTAAATTTCTTTAAGTCCTCACCCTCCGCTTTCTATTTCTAGCCCCAGGGACCTCTAGAATCTAGAATTATATTTTAAATTATAAGTTGATTCTGAGACCAGAGAGGGAGTAGCTGAAGTCCTTCTCTCAGGTGAGGCCTAGTTGAGACATAATGACCGCCAGCCCAGTGCTTGAGGCCTGATGCCCAGGACCTGCATATCACAGGGAAGGAATGCAGCAGGAGATGGATGAGACTTGTGGCAATAATCAACACCTGTGGCCTGACAGCATCTGCTGAAAGTGAGCTTCCAGGATCAGTAGTAGTGCTTCTTTCTCTTAATGACATTGTTTCCTATGTCGCCCATCCTGTATGTGGTACAGGTTATGTCCCTACCCTGCTTCTCATATCTTGGACCAGCAATGGTTAGTGGTTCCAGTTCTGTTAGGTTTGGAAACTAGGAGATGGAGAGCCCAGAGGACTTCAACCTTAGTTTGGTTTGACCTAGCTGATTAAATCCTGCTGTTTCTAGTAGGTGATACAGGAGCCTTCTCAATCCTGATTTCTGACTGTTACCAAAGCAAGAAATAGATATTGCTTTGTGCATTGACTTCATAATGATGTCTTTTAGCTAGTTAGGAGACTCCGATAAATTTTGAGGTGAGGCAGAGCCAAGTCTGCTTTGAGAGGGCAGTCCACTAAGGATTGCCCTTCAGAGCTGGAGGATTGACACAGAGCAAAAGTTTTAAGAGCAGGGGATAAACCATGAGTTGCTCTCTGACATTTCACCCTTTCTGGAACTCAGTTATCTCCAATAGGAAATAATAATCTCTGAGGTTCTTTTTAGTTTCCCCTTTCCTCCTTTGTACTTCTTCGATAATGCCTACAATTTATCTATAAAATCCAAACTTTGTCATGCAGTGTGGGTAGGTTACCTTGGTAAACAGGGGGCCACAACACAAGTGAATCCTGACAGGCTGTTACAGGGACTCTGCATCTGGTTTAGGAAATAGAAGAGACACTATCATACATAGTGTCAAGGCTCTGAAACCTAGGTGCACGGTGGCTATGAACTGACTGGATCAGTTTTAGCTGCTACCAACCACACCCTAAGTTTCCTTTTTGAAAAGGATGATGCTTCTAATTTAGATGTCACTTTCAATGTTGGCTCCAGTGCCACCTTTTTTCTCTCTCCTCCAGCATTTCCATTAGCTGAGATGGTGAAATAGAACATTGGGAAATTACAGTTGAGAAATGAGTATTGGCAGTTTTTAGAGACTGTATATTAAAGGTTTCTAAATTTTACTGACTAGATTTTTTTCCTCCTCCATACAGTTGCTCTTGTATCTTCTAGGTTTTTGAAAAAGCATCTTCTGTCAGCCCCATTTTTTAAAATAGGAAACTCATTCCTTAGATAGTTGGAATACTTTTTATGGGACTGAGCTCCTAGAAACCAACTGTCCCTTTTGGTCTGACCCACAGACAAATGGCCAACCCACAGAACCACCATGGAGTTATTTCTGAGACCCATGGATTTCTTTGTTGTTTTCTCTGAGGTCATGCAGCTGGAGGCTCTCCTCATGTTTACTACTTTTCAAGAAAGTTGCGTTAACGAATGCAACTTCTCCTCTGGAC